GTATCTCATTGTTTTTGTTACTGTAGCTTTATGATACGTTTTAAAATCAGGAAGTGTAAGTCCTCGAATTTTGTTCTTGTTTTTAAAGATTCTTTTGGGTATCTGAGTTCCTTTGCAATTCCTTAAGGATATTAGGATTATATTTTTCATCTTTGCAAAAATAAAAGTTGGATTTTGATAAGGAATGGATTGAATCTGTACATTTTTCAATCCATTAATTATCCATAGAACTCAAATTAATAGACATTTTCAAGACTCTGGTATATATATATGATGTGTACCTAATGAAGGGTGAAAAATTCAGGCAATCAAATGGAGTTTTATATCAAATAGGAATTTTTTTCTTCACTTAATTACATAAATTTTGCACTTCTCAACAAAGCCATGGATGATTTTTGATGTTTTCAGCCTTTTTATTTTAGTCATTCTCATTGATGTGTAATGGCTAAATACAATGCTTTATATTTGATTGAACTACAATTTGTGAGGCATAATATACTTATTCTTAAATGAAATTTTTAAGTCATTCACTTAGATTTGTCACACCTGATGATGAAGAAAAGTAAATATTTAAAGAGACATGGGTTATCTCAGAAGATTGTCCCCCATCTGTTAAAGGAATCATGTGGCCCCTTAAATTCTAAGATAAGATCAGTTAGGGAAGGAACTGCCAATATTTACTTTCACCTATCCACTTCATTTATTTTTCCCTTGACCTATTGAGGATCCTGGAATATGTCCATTAATTATTCATAGAACTCGAATTAATAAACATTTTCAATTCTCTGGTATATAGATGATGTGTACTTAATGAAGGATGAAGAATTCAGACAATCAAATGGAGCTTTACAACAAATGGGAAATTTTTTCTTCACTTAATTACATAAATTTTGCACTTTTCAACAAAGCAATTGGTAATTTTTGCAAAAATAGCACTTCAAAATATATTTCAGTTTGATACCTGAACGCTAAAAGGATACAAACAACTTTCATATAAGTAAAACCTTAAAATCAGTTTTCTAAAGAAATGTTTAGGGAATTTCTCTAAAGGAAACATTTTTTCCATTTATAATATGTGATTTGGGCATTTATAACACTCAGAGGAAAACGACAGCAATCATAGGAAAATACCTTTTTAGAATGTTACCATTTCAGTTTGTCTCAAATTACTTTTAAAGAAATATTTTTGTAAGAAATTCAACATATCTGAATTTAATATAGGCTATGGAATGTATGTCCTTTTCTATGACAATTTTGTAGATCACCATTATTAGTACATATTACTCAAGTGAGAGTTTAAAAAACAAAACAAAACAACAACAAACATTCCTATGGAATGCATTGATGTTGCAGAAGTATCTTCTACTAAAAATTAATTTAAAGTTATATCATCATGTGACTTAGATTTCAGTGTAGAATATTATGCCTTGTGGTAATTATCTTCTGTCTTTTAGATTTGATATGATCTTATTATGTTTCTGTAAATTAACCACATTGTCACCAAATAGAATTGGGCCTTGATTACTCAATGTAAAACAGAACCCACATAACCAAGATGTATGCTTAGGGTTATTTAATAACTGTTAAAGAGACAATTACGATGCATAAATCTGGAATGCCATCTATCAACCTAATGAAAAGAAATATTATCTTGCATTTTCTTTTTCTGTTATTGATTTGTGGTGCCCCAAGACCATTTTAAAAATGATCGGCGTAGTCCTTATCTGTCATGGAAACAAATTCATTCCTTGGGTGGCTAAGCAATATGAGGGGAAATAAATTTCTCAGAAATGTATCCCCTGAAGGTTGCTATCCATTATTGTTATAAGTTTGCAATGGAAATGGCTTTATTGCTACATAGAGAATATGATAAAATTTAAAGCTTGTGAAAGATGATTAGAAAACAAGTATAATAAATATATAATATATCACCAACAATATATCACCATATGTAATACATTTATTTATTTGACAATGTTTTGAGTATATCAAAGCAAATGGGAACAACTCAAATCTGAATGTTAATCCAAAGAATAATAAAAGTGAAAAATTAATGCCTTCAGGGAATTCGGAATTAAAATATTCTCCCATTTCCAACATAGAGCATTTACATTTTCTGCTTGGATGGCAGGTATGAGCTCTATAAATCAGATTTCATCATATAAATCTGTTTCACTTAACTTTACCTCTTCCACACTGCTTCTAGTCTGAGCTTTAGTAAAGCTTCATGAATCTTTCTAAAAGATCATCTCAGCAGAAAAATAAAGCAAAAGTTAGTGGAACTAATTCTGTTACTTGAGTTTAACCTTAGTTCTATGTTATCTTTGGCCACTTTTATGTGAACACATCACAGAAGCTGGGATATGTTATTTTATTATATTTAAGTAAAATCCCTCATTTTAATATATCTATACACAGCTAAACATATCTATTTGTTTTAAAACAGTAATATATATTTTAACTTATGTGGACATATCAACAAGGATATTAAAGTGTTCATTTTTTATTACAGCAAAAAACTAGAACAAATGTAATGTTCTGCTAAATATACGCATGTTATTCTCTCTGGATACTAAGATTTCACATAATTTTGATAAGGTTCTTCTTATATATAATTTTGAATTCATTTTTCCAAGTGACTTTTTGTGATTACAATTAGCAAAGATAAATAATTGCATCTATTATACATATTACCTTTTTTTCATTACATTTTGCTTTCTATTTTTTTTTAATATCATGATTCCTGGAGGTAGGCAGGTAGAAAGCAAGATAGCTTTATTAGAGTGAACAAAAGTTGAGGAAAATACCGTATAGTATGATTAGAGGATTTACTATTGTATCAACAGCTGAAGTTCCCCATAGTAGCCTTTGTGTTTGTAAATCCAAATATAAATCTATATTTTAGTATCTTGGTACCACAGCAGCTAACATTTGAATTTCATTTTATAACTACCTATTATATCAAGCTTAAATATTTCCCATTAAGAATCATTGTAGTCAATAAAAATATGGCTATTGTAAGTCTATCTTTTAAACATCTGGTTTCAGTGACCCAATGTTGAAAGGCCAATCCCTTTAGAATGATATTAAATACATTGCATGGTAAGGTCTAAAATTTCAAGTGCTGCTTTGACATTTTTGGGACTCACAAGACCCGTAAATCTTACAAGCTTCCCTGCTCTTGCCAGATACATGTCCTGACTCTCTTAAAGAAAGCACACCTACCTGGCTAGTTCCTCTATTATGCCAGATCAGTTGCACTCCACCTGGCTCTCAACCTAACTGCCATTCTGGGGAATTACTCTAACAAACCAATCACATTCTTCTGCAGGAACCAGAAGGCAGACACCTCACCCTCCTATTACTATAAAGCCTGTCTCCAATATCCCTGTTCACTCTGTTACCAAGTAAAAACCCCATGTAGCCTTGCATGGCATGGGATGTCCTAGTCTGTGAATATATATGACTAATAAACTGTTGTCAGTTTCATTGGGCCAATGATAGGTGTCATCCATTTGGCCATCTTGTACTATTTAGTGCAGGGGATTCCCTCATTAACAATGGAGTGAATAGGAGGTGATCAGAACACACTACAATGAAAGTGAATAATTCATTAAATTACTTTTCATATCTTTGTGAGATTTAAATGTCTACGTAATAAAGACTTTGCTTGGCTTAATTTTGTTGTAATAAACGATTCAAAGAGAGTAACATAATTTTAGCTTTTACTATAAAGAATGCTATTTGCAAAAGTACATACAATGGAGTTTAGCAAAGACCAATGGCTTTTCTCTTGAAAATGATAACTTATCAATTTATATTTGCTTATTTAACTCAGGAATAAATAGCTCTTAGACATAATGCATGCATGGTGTTCTCGCTTCATACATTAGTTGTAAATTTAACATTGCAGCAATGATATTTGAGAATTAAATTGAGTTCGTTTTGATAAATCCATGAGTGATCAACAATATGGACTTCATTCCATATAATTTGTAAGACCTAGCAGAGCTGCTTTGTCTTCTCCAATTTAATTACAGATCCTCAAAATTTACCTGGGCATTTTTATATTCATGAATTTTTTAAGCAATAGTTTACTTACCTGCTAATCTTTTCCTCCAGTAGCCAATTAAATGGCTAACAGGAAGTCTAAAACACACACATTCACATGCATCACATATATAATTTTCTACACATAAATATAAACTGATGATAAAGGATAAGGGTAGATTATTTGACAGTGTCAATATAGTGTTTAATTAGGATTCTTGGAGAAAAGGCATAGTTTAAAAAAATATACAGTCTACAATTAAAAGCATAACTGGATAAGCAAAATCGTTGGAGCAGATAATGGTTAGGGAAGAGCTCCGAAGAAGTAAAAGCAATCAAAGGGTCTCACTGGTGAAAGAAATACCTATGTTTTTGCTTTGAAAAGTTGATCAGGTAAGAGAAGTTGGAGGATAATATGTCTGCATTCACTGTTTTTGTGATTTTTCTGTTCTTTAACAAAATGTAGTTTAACAAAAAAGGATTTCACTCATTTCAAAGAAAATTAAACTGCAGTAAGATATTTTTCCTCCAAGAAGTAATACATAAACCTCTCTTGCACCATGCCTCCCATCCTCTTAGCCTCCCTTTGTTACCACAATTCTTGAGACCAGCTATTGCAAGCAGATGCGACTTGCCATTACATCACCACAGCTGCATCAGATATCCTTGCTTTCTACTCAGGGCTTCTCTGCTGCCACTGTGTGGATTGCCTGCAAGGAGCTGTTCAATCTGACTCAGGCATAAGCTTAGAAGTGCAAGGGGATGAACACCCCATGAAGCCACCCTTGCCAAATATGGTATAGGAACAGGTGGATATCTAAAGTCTCTCCTCTTTCTCCTTTTGGGTGGATAATTTTGAGGGGGGACTAGCTCTTCACAGGGCTCTTCACAAGGTTCCTAGCAGGGTCAGGTCCTAACTGCCCACAAGGCTGGGTGACTTAGTTACTCACCCTTGGACTTTCTTCTCTTTTCGTTTCACTCTTCACCTTTCTTATGATCTCTTCCCTTTTCTTGTGATCTCTTCGCTTTTCTTGTGATCACTTCCTTTTTCTTAGAATCACTTCCTCAAATAGATCGCCTTTATTTTCTTGGCAGAACCTAGGCTAAGACAAGCTGACAATAGTACAAAGTGAGTTAAGATGTGCTGTTTCTTCACCATAGAAGAATATACTAATAGAGATCTCTTTCCTGCTACAAGCGGATAAACAAAATGTATAACTCAAATAAAACATAACTCAAAATAGTCTAAAAGTCTGCCAGGGTCAAAAGAAAAAAAGGAAACCCTTGGTACCAAGCTACAGTATGGCAAAAAGAGCTAAAGAAGAAAGACCAGGCACTGAAGCTCCAGTGACCTAGTGCTACAGCCATCCAAGTACAAATACAAAGACCAAAATCATCATCCAAATATATTTCTTAGCCAATTTAATACCATATTCTCACAAATAATCATTCATTTTTCATTGAAATATTTAGTTGTTAACTAAATTGGCCAAATAACCGATTTTTTGGAGCCATATAGTCATGTTTCCATATAATAGGGATACTTGTTTCTTTCCCAATAATGAATATGAATCTATGTTCTCTTCTCCTTGTCATTAGTTATAAACCAAGAAATATCAGGAAAGCATAAGTAATAAATACTATACTACCACAATATCCAGCAGTTTATTTTTTATTTTTGTAGCATTCTTAGCCCATCCCACTGCATTTTTAGATCTGATTTTCAACACCATCAAAGATATGGTCCCTTATTTAAGATGCCACCTAGAGTATAATAGCATTTCTGTGAGTTGTCAAATTTTACCTTTGTAATTAATGATAAATTATTTATTTAGATTAATGGTTCTGATTTATCAGACACTTTAAAATCATAGTGATAGTCCTCTGTATTTTAATGAATGATGAAGAACATACCAAGAGAAGTGTTTTATAATATATTGAATTTGAATTTAATTTTTCATAGAAGAAATTAGGGTTTCTGCCATTGCTGGCGGTTTATAATTATTTCAAAATTTCAATTGTCTTAGGAAAATAGTCATTTGATTATAAAATCAGTGTATGCACCTTCTCTTGCCATTGCATTACCAAGTCTTTCACAGTGATTATAAAAAAGCATATTTTTATACTATTGTATTCGATGTATTTATACTATATTAAAATCTCTTTGAATTATAGAAGGTTTTAATATTTGAGTTATAAGAGTCAATCTATAGAACTGAAAAACTTAAATGCACTTTGCATGTGGACAACACATTTTGTTAATGTCATTTCAGTAGATATTATCTCTGAAGTTTTTAATCTTGTTAATTATTTGGGATATTTTAATTTAGTGAGTTACAGTGTCAATGAAACCAATGTTTAATAGTTAATTTCATAAGGGAAATTTTTCTTAGCAGAAAGGCCAACTGCCACGTGGAGAAACACATCATCTTTAACTTGTGCACATGCCCCAAGCCTTGGTACTGTGGAAAACCACAGCTATTGTCATAGACCTTCACCCTTAGAAATTATGATGCCATTGTATCCCTTACTGTATTAATTCACTAGTAATTTATATCATATTGTCTTTCACATGGATAATTTTTCTTCCAAAATAGTTTATTTTTGTATGAAGTATGTATTAGTCCATTCTCATGCTGCTATGAAGAACTGCCTGAGACTGGGCAATTTACAAAGGAGAGAGGTTCAATTGACTCACAGTTCCACATGGTTGCTGAGGCCTCAGGAAACTTTCAGTTGTGGTGGATGGGGAAGCAAACACATCCTTCTTCACATGATGGCAGAAAGAAGTGCCAAGCAAAAGACGGGAAAGCCCCTTGTAAAACCATCAGATCTCATGAGAACTCACTCACTATCGTGAGAACAGCATGAGGGTAACTGCCCTCCCGATTCAATTACCTCCTACCAGGTGCCTTCCATGACACATGGGGATTGTGGGAACTACAATTTAAGGTGAGATTTGTGTGGGGACACAGAGCCAAACCACATTAAAATATTTTGCCAACTGTAAGGTACCTTATGATTTGCAAGTGATTGTAGCACAGAGAATATAACACTTAGGAGCCAATATGTTTGTTGAGTGAATGTAAATATAATAATGCTTATACATCAGGTGCAGATAAATAGCCATTAAGGTTGGTATTTTAGCATCTAAGTATTTTTTCACTCAGTTGGGTCTTAGAACAGAATACATGCTATTTTCTAATTATTAGTATATACATCCTAATTGCTACATTGATCCAACATATTCTTAGGAATTTACAGTTTTTGTATGTTTACCTTTGTATATGTACTTCTATTTTTTAATTCCTACCATTAGAGATTAATATATTGAAAGTTCTGGGAATAAATACATTTTAATATTATTGAAGAAATTCATTTATGTGATATATTCCAACTGTCATAACTAGAGGAGAGTATGGTTATTCTAGAATGTTATACATGGTAGCTGTGTAAGTGTCTGTTTAGGGAAAAAAATATTTTGTGTGGGGAGATGTGATCAGAGGATAGCAGAGATGTTAAAAAGGAGGTATGAGTTTATGTTAGAAAGATTCTGGGATGCCTCCGGACTAAACTGGACTTAAGATATTTTATGACTACTAACCATTACTCTCCAAGGAAATATAAGATATAAATATAAAACCAGTGAATAGCCATATTAGGAGGAAAGCACTTAAAAAAAAAAAAGACACAAAGTCTGTTTAGCCAGAGGTCAAAGTAAACATTAATAGAATGAAATAAACCAGTCTGCTGAGTTCAAAGACAAAAATAAGCCTCACATTATCTTTAATCAAATATCTACTTTTAAATAGAATATATATATATATATATTCCAATTTATGTTATAAGTCCTTTTTTGTCTTCAAATGATGTTTTGCTGGGAAATATCTCTAAATTGACTTCTTAAATGCCATGCATATATACTTTAATATACCTTAGTAAGTCTTCAGTAACATAGAATTGGATAATATGGCCATCTTGATTAAACTTCCACTTTTTACTAAAAAAGAACCCGAGAGCATAGTTGGAGGTTAGGCTGGTGGTGGTTATAATGGGAGGCTGGGAAAAGGGTAGGGAAAAATGACCTTATTTCCCACTGGGCAAGCAGTCTCTCAAGCTTCAGAGGTTTCTGTTTGGCTGTCTTATAGATCCTGCCCACAGTCATAGAGAAAATGACCACAAGCAAGAACTTGGAGGTAAAATTTTGTCTTCCACTTTAAAAATGATTAGGGACCTAGTCATTACCTAACAAAAAACCTAAATAATCCATTCAAGGAAAGTAAAAAAACAAAAATTTAAAGAATGATCTGAGATGGAAGAGGGCATGGTCCACAAAATTTAGTAAACATTGGTAAATCTAAACATACATGCATGAATTATAATAGTAATATTCAAATTTTGTTGTTATAGAAATACAAAAAGAACTAAAATTCTGGAATGCTTGGGGGAAAATAGCATAGATAATGAGATAATGAGAGAGAACTGTTTTTTTTTTTAATGTCCTTTTATTGTTCAGTAGAAAGGTAGAGATGTTGACCAACTTTGGACTTCAAATATACATGTTAAACATTATTCATGAAAAGCAATTATAAATAGAAACAGAATGCAAAATGTATCTATATCATTATACAGACAACTGTAGAAGGTAAGAAAGTAAAACAAATAAAAAGCAATAAAATGATAAAATCCAAACATGGTAGAAGACAACTAGTAGGACTGTCATTTCCCCTGAGGATATTAAGGTATTATCAGACTGAGAGACAATAAACAAATCAACAACAACGAAAATATATATTCTATTTATAAGAGACATATATAAAACTCAAGTACAGAAAACCTATATGAGCCTTAAAATATTTTCCTGACCGATGGAGATCTGGCATTCTGATTTAAAAACACATTAGTCAATGATTAACTCAATAAAGTATGGATTGTAGCCTTTAAATTCCATTTCCCACTACAACAAGCCAGGTTTCTTGGAGAAATGTCTGATTCCAGGCCTAGGAAAAAACAGGCTAAAAGATCCTAGGGTTTCTTATTGTAAAAGAAAGCGAGATAGGTATTCAAGACTACTAACGTGTGTATAAAGAACTCTAAAACCAAATTGTAAGGTCCTTCTATGAGCAACAAAAAGAATAATAAGAATAATGTGATGCAATATATTGTGTATATTAAAAATCAACTAAAAAGAACTCATTTTTCATTGTGCAAATGTGGATCATCTATGGAGACACTTCATAATTCTAAAACCCAGTAAATAAAATGAACAAGCAAGCATTTATCTTCCATTTATTATAAAATCTGCACCTCAAGTTAACCAAATAGTAGATGAATAAGTGTCTGCCTCTATAGAAAAACACGCAGCTGATAAATGTACAAGAAACAATTGAATTGGAATTCTACCACTTTACAATAGAGATTTTTGGATCTCTGTAATTACTGAATCTTTGTAATATCAATGTCTGCTGACACTAGTGAGTGAAAAGCAGATGGGAAACTTTTTTTTTGGAGATGGAGTCTCACTCTGTCACCCAGGCTGCAGTGCAATGGCGCAATCTTTGCTCACTGCAACCTCTGCCTCAGCCTCCCAAGTAGCTGGGACTACAGGGGCGTGCCACCATGCCCAGCTAATTTTTGTACTGTTTTAGTAGAAACAGAGTTTCGCCATGTTAGCCAGCTGGTCTCAAAATCCTGTCCTCAGGTGATTCACCCATCTTGGCCTCCCAAAGTGCTGGCATTACAGGCATGAGCCACCACCCCTGCCAGGAAACTTTTTAATGAATGAGTGGAGGTGGCAACACCTGAACCTATTGATCAGTCTCAAAAAGAAAAGCAATCACTTGTTAGATGCCTTCAGATATGGTGTAAAAAAAGAAAAGTCAGCTATATTCATTTTTGACAAAATCCTAATCGGTTAGTCTGTCATTTTGTGGGAAGTACAGAGACAAACAGGAATGCAATTAGCAAAATCTAATATTTAGAAAATGTTTTAAGAAAAATAGTCCGGGTTCTTCAATAAATAAATAGAATAATGAAAGTGAGAGAAGAAAGCTACAGAAGAAACAATATGTAGATATATTAAGTAAAATAAATGGAACCAAAGTGTAGACATT